ACCCTCAAAACTCAAACAAATCGAACTAAAAAGGTGATATTCGTAATCAGCACAAAATTCTGCATCGGATGATGTGTCTTTCAAGGAAAAATGAAGAGTGCTTGATTTTTGAATTAGCGGCACCTTACTGTGGTGAGCTTTCTATTTACTACGGCCCGCTTCTGACAGCTTTTGATCAGATACAGTCTGTCGACATCTCAACTTGTGCGCACCACAAAAATATATGAAAACTACTAAGTCCACAACACATTTTTGTTCCGCTTGTGGACCTTATGACGCCGAGTCTGTACCATTAACCTCCTGAATGCCATAAGGCATCTATAAAGGGTGGGCCAGAAGTTCTGACTCGATTTGAATAATAAATTTTTCTATAGTGAAACAAGTGGTTGGATCCGATGATCTTACTAGATGAGTTAACGTGAAACAAGATGAAGATGTTCTTTTAAAGCCTTTTTAAAGGTTTGGAGAGAATTGATGGAAACGACCTTTTCTAGACCTTTAGCATTCCAGTCCTTTGCAGTCCTCCAAAAGAAGGATGGCTGGACAGTTTCGAAAGGAGTGAAGGGTATGTCGATCATATAAGAATGCGCTGCTCGGAGAGACCTAGAAGTCAATTTAATAAGATAAATCTCAGATTCGCGGAGGGTCAGGTTATTGTAAATTTTGTAAAATGATATGAGTCGAAAGTACTGCCGTCTGACACTGAGATCGGGCAAGCCTAGTTCATTGACTAGAGATAGACTATCAGACATAAAACTAAGCGAATTGACTGAGGCACTTCTCCGAAAAATCGATTAATAACACTGAGCATTTTCCGACAAGATGTTGCTACTTCGCAAATATGTGTTGCCCATTTCATATCGTGAGAAAGACGCATACCCAAAAGTTTCGGATCCGTATCGACTCTATTAAAGTCAAAGCTAGAGCTTCGACTTTAATAGAGTTAACTTGAAATCGGGCTTTATTTTAAGATCAAGTGAAAAGTAAGTGTATGAACATTTGTCAATGTTGAGTGACATATGATTTTTTTCACACCAGTTTGTTACTCTGTCTATTTCAGCTTGAACTAAATTCTGAATAACAGAAATGTGTTCCGATTTTTTGAACCATAGAACCACAAAAAGATCATCAGCAAAAAAGCTATCTATCATAGACGACGAAACTGGCGCGGAAAAGTCGTTAAAAAATAAAATAAAAAGTAAAGGGCCGAGGATGGACCCTTCTGGCGCCCCTGAGAGAACCGGCGACTGAGAGGAAAAGTTTTCACCAATTTTGACAAACTGAGTGCGCTCTGTAAGATAAGATGAAAACCAGTTAAGAAGACTCCCGTCGATACCAAGTAGTTTTAACTTATTAAGTAGAAGGTCGGTCGATACACGCTAGAACGCTTTTGACAGATCAAAACTGAACCCTATGCAATGCTCTTTTTCAGAACTTGCCTTATATTCTGCTGTTATCTCACTACGCGCCACAACAAGTTCTTTCAATGTTTTGATATCATTCAACAAATGAGCTACATATTGTGCTCCGTTATCCCCAAAATATATATTTGAAATATCATGAGCGGTTGCTAAATATCGATTCTTCTTCAATTCATTGAAAATTGTTTTAAAATCATTAGCTAATTCCAACGTTGAATAACAGAAAGAACTCGGAGGTATAACAGGCACGGCTTTTAAGTTTTTTAAAATCATTTTTAAAAATTCAGTTGGATTCTTTAATGACGATGTACTAGTTTCGTCGTCTGAATTGGCTAATATCGTTAAAACAACAAAATTAAAATTTAATTCATACAAATAAAATGGAGGCTGTGATAGCGCAATTAATTGATTAAATCTTGATAATCAAATTTATTTGTGACTACTAAAGCACTATATTGATGACTAAATGTTACATCATCAGTCGTTTGTATTTGTTTGCTTGGTTGATATGATCCGAATGTTCTGTGCATAACTAACGAACAAGTCGTTGACTGTTTATTACAACTCAATCTAATTTATAGATAAAATTTTCATTACCATATATAAAAGTAAAAAAATGCTTATATAAATTTTTTTCTAACGGTTGCATTGGTTTTGAAAATATATTTTCAAACCATTTAAAATTGAATCAGTTATGTCTAAATTTTGTTTAATTAAACGTCTTGAATGATATTTTTGACTTTTTTTTCACAAAAATTATTGTCTGGGCCAAACGGGGCGGTGTGGTGGCGCGATGAACCCTGATGGGGTGAGACGGTTATGGGATAAAGCAATTAGAGACTGAGCGAGATGGTGACCGAGGGAGGCAAAGTTTGCCTCGCCGAACGTTTTGCTTCTTTTACAGCTGCTAATAGTGTCTTTGTTGACTACATGGTCGATAGATTTTCTTCAAGAAATGGATACGTGCTTGGTAAATCGTAGGTAAAGTTACTGGGATATCTACTGAACAAAAGTCGAAAAGTATAATCTGAACAGACTATGAAAGAGCGAAAAACATTAGTCATACTCTGATAATGTAGGTATTGCTTGTTTTATTGGTTGAATTCACTGCAAACATGTAGATCGTTGATCTGGATCTTGCGGCCATGATTTCAATATTATTTGTTTATAGAGATCTAGTACGTCTGATGGAATTTCTAATCGTTGTCCAGATAAAACATAACACGGAATAATGATAGCTTCATAATTTTCATACTGTAGGGATTGTGTAGATAGTTTCCAAAATACGATAGTTAAACTATAAACATCAGATTTTATTGTAGGTCCAGCAATTCTGGTGTTTTTTATATTGAAGTGTACTGCTTACTTCTGTAGAGGTGAATAACTATTTAGATGTATGATTTTTTACCTTAGCTAAACCAAAATTAGCTATTTTCACTAAATAACCGGTATAATATTTATATGATAAGAGAAGATTTTGTGGTTTAATATCACAATGGATAATTGATGGTCGTAACGTATGTAAATAATTTATACCTTTCGTTGCTTGCAATGTTATTGACCAACGTTCGTTCCATATTAGATAAATTTATTTGTGATGTAACAATTGAAATCATGAACCTACTGGGATATAATTTGTTGAAGATTAATTATGTTTTTATGATGTTCAGCTAATAAGTGTCATATCTTATTAATCTTTTTATCAATATCATTCAAATCAAATTGCTGATCCGGTTGATTGTATTTTTTATTAGATGTTTTTTCAACGTTAATAATTCCGGTATTCATATCATGCAGTCAGTTTTTGTACACATTTAAAAGTTCCACCCTTGCATCGGTCGCTTTTACGTCATCGTCTCTCAGTAGCTGTACAATTTGAACCGGTAGGGTTTTTTTCGTCCTATTTGTTTCGTTCGGAAACCGATTGGGTACAGACTTCTTCTAGCCTGTGAATCTCCTGTAAAAGATTAGATAACTTTTGGTATTAGTGGAAGTAAGAGAAAACGAAAGAAAAACATGTGAAAATAATAAACTGTGAGGAATGGTATCGAAAAATACTAGTAGTAGGAAAGCATCTTTGATATGCCAACCGATATATAAAAGTCGAAGCTTTGCGAGGTGCACGCAATGCAAACTTCGAGCAAAATATTCTTTTAAACTTATTATACATCATTAAATAGAGTATTTCGAGCTAATTAAGACAACATACATTTTAATTTTTAAAAATAATTTTTTTAGGGTGAAATCGAAAATACTTGAAGCACCTAAAAAGTTGAAAAATCCTTCAAGTTCAAAAAACGCTCAATATCTGCGTTACAGACCTTTCAAAATATGTTTTTCTTATTTATACTGAAAACTGAACAGAAAAACCGGTGTTTGATCAATTTCGTTCAGTTAGTACAGTGGTATAATTTATAGTCGTGCTAGAGAAAGAGAGATAAAGCTCACAGTAGTTTAGTTTTGGTTAAGGTCAAGGGAGAAAAAGTACAACTTTCTTTCCAATTCCAAGATTTGAGCTAACTCATTTCAGGAATATGGAACAATTCCCAAGAAAAAGCATACACGGCTAAAATTACTATCTCATTTCTACTAAGATTCTACTGCAAAACAATTCTTTTAAGGTGCAGTAGTGCGAAGTTTTACTTTTGCGAGCAGACCACATTTGGGTCTCATTGTTATTGATGTGACAGCCGGCACAATGTTTTGTCCAGGAACAATCTCAAACTGTAAACGTTGTATCAACATGGACAAAATCACTTTTGCTTCTAATAAAGCAAAATTACTACCGATACAGTTTCTATTACCAGCTGAAAATGGTAAATAGCAAAAACGATGTGATAATTTTGGTTTAAGACCATCTACATTTCTCATCCATCGTTTATAATCAAATTCTAATGGATTTTTCCAATATAAAGGTGAACGATGTAACACGTATGAATTTAATATTATTGTTGCACCAACTGGGATATAAATTTGTTTTCCATTTTCCGGACCAATATAATGTTCTTTTATACACTGACGTGTGATGAACGGTGCTGGGGTATACAAACGCAATGTTTCATGTATAACTGCATCAACTAAATGTAATTCATCAAGTTTATCATATGATGGCGCTTTTCCTTGTAAAATTCGATCAATTTCTTCGCGGCAAACATGAAAGATACTTGCATTTGTCATTAAAACATACATGCACCATGTCAGAAGTGTTCCAGTTGTTTCATGTCCAGCTAATATAAACGTTAGTGCATGCTCTTTTATTTGTTGATCATCAAAACCGTTGCCATCATCATCCTTAGCCAATAATAATAAATCTAATAAATCTTTACCACTACCCAAACTATGACTTTTGCCTAATCTTCGATCATTTATTACTTGATCGGTAATAGTTGTTAGTTGTTTAACACGTTGAGCAATAAGAGGCTTTTTAGCTATAGGTAATTTACTCAATATCGGTATTTGATTTATCATATTTAATGAACGATATTGAATGGCATCTAATATATCTGTTACGGAATTACAAATTATCTCTTGCGTGTTCTTAGCATAAAAATTTTGTCCAAATGCTGATGAAGTTATGACGGATAATGTTAATGTATTCAATTTGTATTGTATATCAAACTCTTTCTCAGAATTTTTTGATATTTCTAATAGCCATTCATCAATAGTATTTGTAGTTTGTTGTGATATAATTGAAATCATTGACTGTAGATTAATAAAATGAAATGCTTCATTTAACATTTTACGTGCTCGATCATGTATATCATTTTCTGATACGAGTAAATTTGTTTTGCCAATAAGTGGTATAAATACAGTTCGAAATAATTCTGGTTTATTATAGAATTTTGTATATTTTCGAAGCACATCACCAATGTAATCTGGCTCATGTATATATAAACGCATTACCGGTCCAAACATCATCGTATAGATATTACCATATTTTTGTTGTAGATCAATATGATATTGCATAAATTTATCGGCACGTGTGTATTGACGAATATCACGTAACTGACCAATAATAGGTATAAACGGTTCACCTGGTATACCTTGAGATTTAAATGAATTATATATCTGTTTTTCTTTGTAAACAAAGTTGTAATAAATATAACAAAGAAAAATACAAATAATGCCAACAATAATAATAAATAGCATCTTTTATTATTGTAAATTAGTTTTGATTTGGTTCACATCGATAATTTAAAAATACTCAAAATGAAATAGAATCTGCATAATGAAAGAAAATTCGGCCGTGCTATAAGATGAAATCTTTCTTTTCTTCGAGTTCATTACTTATGTCTTTTATACGGAAACAACGGCTTAATGAAAGTGGACAAGAATTTAAAACATCTCGGAAATATCGCAGATTAGATCGCGATTGACTTAATTGCACAAAAAAACATGGAAAAAAGATCTCGATTTTTAATACGAAATATTTTTTTTTCGAAATCATAGAATGGATTTTGCAAAAAAATATGCAATAAATAGATCTGAATTCGGGTAATTGGACGGAAAACATGGGAGAGATCTCTGTTCTTTTTTTGCACAGAAGTGAATAATCAGAGCAATATGCTTGTCCTTGATAGCATCATCTACTGGGATGGGTACTCGACAAATGCCACAAGCACTTGCAAAAACGTCGAGGAAAAGGTCGTCCGAGAAAAGTAAGATATGCATTATCCAAAGACTAACATTATTATTAGGATTAGTACTATCATCACCATTGTCATATAATATCTTTGTTTCTGTGTTCATGTTTATTTGTCACAAATTCTCGTAAACTTATAAATTGGTTTCTCATGGTGTTTGTATTTGATGAAAACTTTTGTGAATAAACGAAAAATGAAAGTTTTTAATTTTTTACCACAAAAATGTTCTGTATTAGGCCCGATCAATCTATGATCATAGATAAGAGAAAAATGAAGCCATAATTATGATAGACAAGAAATACATAGTATTGGATGCACGTAATTCAAAGTACGAGTGAAATTTCTTTTCGAACCTATTAAACGTCGCTGGATAGAGGACTTCGTGCTGATCACGAGTATATGTGCCTCGAATTTTTCTAATACTTTTTTTTACTGCCGTAGTTCTTTTTGCGTTAGGGTTTCTATGCTCGAAACAAAGTTTTTTGGATTCAGCATCTGAAACTCAATGCGGAAATGGTTTTGAAACATTTTTAGAACCAAACGTCTATTCACAAAACATTTTGCAATGTCCATGGCTTAAAGACGGTACTCAATTTTGCAATCCTACCACAGGTTTCCCTACCGATAGTAGAGCCAATATTTTCACGTGGTTAGATTCGCTAGATGCTCAGGTTCAAAACTATACGAACAGTTTTTTAAAATTCCTTTTTGTTGCTGAGAAAGCTCATTTTTTCTAATGAGAACCAAAAAGTCGAAATTCTGGGTTAATAGTAAAACATCAAAACACCTACAGACACTCGCAGACACCCCACATACACCCGCAGACAGCTACACAGCTGTCTGTGGTTGCATGTGTGCTGTCTGCGCAGCTGTCTGTGGATGTCTTTGTGTTTTACTATTACCCGAAATTCTGTCCGTAATTACCAATTTTCTCCCTCAGAATTCAACTTTTGAGCAATAGAAATATCATATTCGGAATTACGCTAAAAAACTGAGTCGACTGAAGTGTATTTTTCTCCTATCCGACTACTTTAACTTTTTTCAAATTTTTACGTTGAAAACTTACCGAAATTTTCACCCAAAACTGGAAATCAACTAAAAATTTCGAAATACACATCAGTCGACTCAGGTTCGAAAATAAATTTCACTCGAACTTTGAATTACATGCATCTTATATATAGTTACTATAGTTCGACTTTTTTCGAGATCTCTTTCATGTTTTCCATCTGATTTAGGTCGGGTCAGAAAGCTATCTCAGCCCAGATAGGTCTGATCTGAACCAAAATTTCAGGGAATGATGACCATATCAAAGTGTGATATGATAATGTTTTGTTGGCTTCAGTTGCAACCGTTCGTGGGAGGGCGCCACTACAAGGGTCAAAACAGGCATCTACTATGAGCAGGAATTCTCATAGTGAACTCGGGCTGTTTTTGTTTTGCAGTAAACAGTTATGGCTAGGAGTTAACAGAGCCATATTTTTGAATTCCTTATTTACTGATTTCTGGTGCTTAACAAAACTTCAAAGTTCGAAAAATCCATAGGTGTCTTGAAAACCCTCATTTTTATAAAAAATGGAAGAATAATTTAAAAGCAAGACTTTGTCAAGTCCTAGGTAGAGGTGTTATGTATAAAACAAAAACAACATTTTTCTTTCTCCTGTGTATCGTTGCTTAGAAGTCCCGTGCGTGGCGGAAGCTCTGAAGCTAAAAAACAGTCTTAGACAAAACACAAAATAAGTTTTGATTCTGTTAAATGCGTTTCACTTAAAAACTGTTTGAGCGTTTAATGATTTGTTGATACTTTGCTAGAGATTATCGGTCATGACGGATCTAATGAACATGTACACAGACATGTGCTGTACCAAACGGAGAAAACAGCTAAAGTTGTACAAAAGTTGAATACCTCAAAATCTTTTCGTCGACTATCGCCTTTGCACGAATGTCAATAAAGTCAATGTGAATATTTGCTCTGTTCTGTTCTGTTATAGCATTTTTTCAAACATTTCTCCTTATACGTGATTTTTTTCTCCTGTCTTTTTAACCATATTTTCTGTATGTATTTTATCGATACTGCACCGACAAATATTTTTGTTTGTACTCTTTCTTCTCTTCGAGTAAGAGCAATTAAGAAGAAAAAAATATTACCCATGTGTAGAAACAACAAGTGTTTGCATGTTTTATTACTCACTGTGTTAGATGCTTTGACCTTCTATTTTTGAAAATAAGAAGAAAACGTTTTGCTGCAAAAATCAACAACATTATGCAGGTTTAGAGAATAAGACACAAAAGAACAATTTGCTCTGAATGAGAAGACTTAGCCGTAGGTTGCAAGATTATAATTTAAAAAACGTTTTACACTGTCGAAAAACGGTCTTCTTCAAAATAGGCGTGAGACAATTTCAGTTCAGTTCTTTTGAAGGGGAACTGGTCATTAGTTCAGTTCTTGTTGAACACAAACTGCTTACAATTTGTTTCAAAAGAATGAGAACTGGTACCGATCTTTTCAAAAACTAGCTACATCGGTTTTATTTTACTTTGAATTTTTGGAAAGAACTAGTAACCAGTTCGCGTTCAACAAGAACTGAACTAGTTCTTAGAAACTATAGGAACAGGAACTGTCCATCTCTACTTCAAAATACTTCTGGATGTGTGGTCGACAACTATCTAAACGGCATACTACTTACTGATCATATATGTTACAGAGAGTGTAGAAAATCAGGGAATGTGCACATTCCCTGAGGAATCTGTACATTCCGTGACAGCGTTCGGGGAATTTGAGTATATGACATAGAAATTTCTCTTGGAATATAAAAAATTCATGAATTATGCGATGTTTGCAGTTAGAGCAGAGAAAAATCGTAAAATTTAGTGATTTACTATCCATTTCGAAATAGAATGGAAAAAAGTATTTTTTGAATAACGTTTTAACAGAAGAGTTAGAACTATGCGGTTTCCAGTATTTGATAAAGGACCCACTGGGAAAGAAATCTATGGAGAAATTAGGCCTTCCGAACAGGTCTAGCATGGTGCACCTTGTCGAACAAAATCTGAAAGCTCCCTATTTCCTGTATTTTGAATTCTGATAGGTTTATTCGAACCTCTAGACTGCCCTCCTTAAAACTACACAAGTTCAAAATTCTTATTCCCTATCCGAGCATTTTTCCAGGACCTACTTATCGGCTAAACTTCATGTTTGGGAATTTTCAAAACACATGGAACATAGGAT